TTTTATATATATTTAGTATTTTATATATCTATCAAACAACTGAAAGCATTCAATTACAAAAAAGGTGCATATGTAAAGCTTTCTGAATTGTCTTCTGTAATGTTATGTAGAAATAATAAAGGGCTAGATTTGATTTGATTAATAAGGAATGGACTGGCCTGCACTGATAAATGCTTCATGCTGATCGAAGCATTTTTGCCGCAGGTTCCTCTTCGTCCGCTCAGTTGCACTTTGGAGTCAGAAGATGAAGGTCTTCATTTACATTGAACTGGCTTGAAGAAACTCAGTTGCCTTCTCTTGTGCTGAGCTGCTGTGCTTTTGTGTTCTGATGATAAACCTGTACAATTCTGTGGGACCAAAACCATGTCTGTTTTCTGTTTTCTGTGTGTGTGAATCATCTTATAATCAAGCTTCCGTTGAAACCGCTTCAACGTCTGTACATTAGTTCTACCTTATTTGTTGTTAAAGGAAAACAATCACGTTACTGTATATTTGTGGAATGCTAATTTAAGTTGATTAATTTAATGGAGACGTGTTGAGAGAGTTTGGACCAGGACGGCTGCTATCGGACTCTGGATAACACGGCGCTTTACTCGTCACAAACGAGCCTCGTTAAGGCTTTCTTCGGGCTGGAACTCGTGGCTGTGTTATCAGATACTCTACACTGTGTTTTATTCGCTCGCTCCCATGAAAAGACCACAGAAGACATTTGTAGAAGACATATTTTTGTAAAGGTTGGAGCTTCGGATTTTATGGGATTTTGTCAAAACTCAAATAAAGATTAATATAATATTTGAAAACTGCCTTCGACTCTGCGTCTCTTTTTCTGTATCCTGGTTCGTTTTTGCAGTGTGATATTTGTGACCCTGGAGCACAAAACCAGTCATAAGGGTCAATTTTGTGAAATTGAGATTAATGCATCAGCTGAAAGATGAATAAATAAGCTTTCCATTGATGTATGGTTTGTTAGGATCGGACAATATTTGGCTGAGATACAACTATTTGAAAATCTGGAATCTGAGGGTGCAAAAAAATCTAAATATTGAGAAAATCATCTTTAAAGTTGTTCAAATGAAGTTCTTAGCAATGCATATTACTAATCAGTTTTATTTCTACAGAACTAAATATTTATAATTATATCAATAATCACTGATTTTATTAACCAAATATGTATTTCATGATGACCCAGTGTCATTTATATATGACAAATGTTAAGCAGTTTGGGAGTTAAAATGTTTAATAATAATATATTCATATGATGTATACATATATTATTTTTTGTAATTAATTTCAGTAAGTCCTGGCCTGTAAATATACTATTTAAGCTGCTATTTAAACTCGATTTAATGTTTATGAAAGTTTCTGTGCATCTTTTTTTGTTCTGTGTAGAGTAAACAAAGATACGCAATGAAAATAAAATAAAACATTAAAACGTTTACAAATACTGACAAGTTTTTGAAATTGATTCGAATATACGATAAACAATACAATGCAAGCCTCTGTTATCTCGCTCCATATTGTATGGAAATAAAGCTTCATGTTTTTAAGTCCATACCATATATAGTCAGCGTTATTTCTATGAATGAGTTATGATATGTATATTTTTAATGTCCCTGACTGAGCAACATCTATTTCAGACTCTTAGAGTTCACACAAATTCTATGGTGTTTTATTAGCATTAATGTTTCCTTGTGTTAAAATGCTTTTCAGAGCTTTTTTGATTTCATTCATGTCCACTGTAGAGGACAGCAGGACTAAAAGCCTGTTTATTACTCATTTCTGGAGACACAACAAATTAATAGAGGGGGAAAAAATTATGTTTCAATATTCCTATGAAATATTAGATGTTATGAAAATGTTGCCAATTATTACTCCCATTATTACACTTCTTTTTACATTACATGTTGCCCCAAGAACACATTAGATACAGTACTGTGTATACAGTGGGAAGCCCCATTTATGGCAAAATTGTATATTAAATCATCCTGTTATATCTTTCATAACATAGTTGAGAATCATCTGTATACAAAGCCCTGAAACCTAAAAATGTATTTGTGATTTTTAAAAAATCTGTTTTTTGCCTATTCATGTTCATTCATGTTTTTGTTTTTTAATCCCGGTGTCCTCTACAGAGGACGTAGCATAACATATGAATAAAATATCATTTTTTAAAATTATTATTATTATTATTTTATTTTTTAATTATGCTCTAAAAAAATATAATGGCGTGAAAAAATACTAAACTTACAAAACTTTTTCTCGGAGTCTCTGGAGGTGATGGCACGTTTGCAGTTTCTGTTAATATACAGATTTCTCATTTTTGTTGAGTTTAATCTCATTTAAAGCTTCTGTGGTTTGCAGCGAAACGCCTCAGTGAAGGTGATCGTGCAGTACCGCATTTAACCACACGAGGCGCTTCACGCGAATGAAAGCGTGTGAAAAGCTTCATTTTTCATTGTTATTTTCTCAATCTGCTGTCTGTACTCGAGTAGAAATACTTCAGTGTCTTATTTTATGATTAACAGGGACTATTACGAGAGTTAACCCCGTTTCATTGTCCGCTAACTCCGTCCTCGTGTTTGATTGGACGATGGAACACAGCGTACCGGAAGTAGAAGAATCCGCGCGTCTTGCGGAGGTTTTCAGCTCCTCGTGAGTGTTTGTGAGTGTGTGAGTGTTTCTGTGTGTGTGTGTGTTTCTGTGAGTGAGTGTGTGTGTTTCTGTGAGTGAGTGAGTGAGTGAGTGAGTGTGTGTAGTTTGAGGTGTTTCTCAGGAGCTCGTTCGTGTCTCACCGTCACTCAGATGTGTAGCGCGCTGAATCACTCCATCAGCGCTGAGAGTTTGTTGTCATCGCTTCTCGGCCTTTTGGCTAAGATCAAGTGTAGTATTTGTTCTTATCAGTTTAATATCTGATACGTCCTTTATATGGGGACTATATATTAAATTGATTTTTGGATACGGGAGATGGAATAGGGGCTTGCTCCATCCACTCCACGCATCGACTCGGTATTGCACTACTTCCGAGAGCGGTGCATCCCCATCCGGGGACATAATGAAGTTAAAAATAAGATTCTGGGCTTGAAGCAACAAATTTGATTTTTGAAAGATGTGACGTATTTAGAGTATTAAACGTAAATTTGTGAAAAACGAATCTTTCCTAAGCATTGAATCAGTGAAACCAAAAGCTTCGCTAGATTATTCATTGCTTCGAAACACCGCGCGCTGTGTGATATGCAATAAAAACTCAGGCCAAAACAGCTTTTACAAACTCATTGCAAATGCTTTATTGAAAGTATTATACATTAAATACAATAAAATTAATAAAATACCATTAATTGTGAAGTGTCTGTATAATATGTGGTTTTTAAAATATTTTCTATTTGCAGGGCTTGTTTTGTTTGTTTTATGGAGAGCTTGTCTAAACAGGGCAATAAGAGACTATTAACTAAACTACTCATAATTTCAATTACACAAATGTCTCGTTAAAAATGTCTACGAATTGATCAAACCCCCCATTTTGCCTATACATGGCTTTTCTTGACGTGTAATAACTTAGTCGTGGCATCCTCTACAAAGGACATACTATAAAATATGAATAAATAAGTTTTTTCTCCATTTGTTTCTTATGCTCCAACCAATGTAATGACAAACAACAAAATTCACTTTTTTTCTGGTTCTCAGGAAGACATGCCAAGTTCAAAAGCCAATTAAAAGAAATTGGAAAATTAAAAAGTGCTAACAAGTTGGATTTTGTCAGAGCAGTAGCTCTAGTATAAAGGTCTTATGTCTGTTTTAAAGAATCATCTAGGGTGGCCAAGAAACAGCACCGCAAAATGGGCTGATGGCGCAATATGGCTCAGTGTGCATTGTCCTATATGCCAAGTTCAAAGACCGATTAAAAGAAATTTGAAAATGGAAAAGTGTTCAAAATTTGTATTTTGCTAAAGCAGTAGCTGTAGTATAAAGATAGTATGTCCGTTTTAATGTATCATGTACGCTGGCCGAGAAACAGCACCGTGAATTAGGCTGATGGTGCAATATGGCTCAGTGTGCATTGTCCCATATGCTAAATTCTTTTTTTTCCATTTTATATTTATTCATTTTTTTTCAGAGGGAAAATGCATACAGAGATCAGGACATACATAATTTCTCAGAAATAAAGAAAAAAATAAATGAATAAATAAATGAAAACATACATACACCTTAATGTTACTATGGAGAGTATATACAGAGTATGTATGCCCTCAAAGAGTAAAAAGTTCTTAAAATCTGGATTTTGTTAGAGCAGCACCTCTAGTATAAAGGTCTTTTGTCCACTTTAATGCATCATCTGTGGCGGATGAGAAACAGCGCTGTAAATTTGGCTGATGGCACAATATTGCTCAGTGTGCATTGTCCCATATGCTAAATTCTTTTTTTTCCATTTTATATTTATTCATTTTTTTTCAGAGGGAAAATGCATACAGAGATCAGGACATACATAATTTCTCAGAAATAAAGAAAAAAATAAATGAAAACATACATACACCTTAATGTTACTACGGAGAGTATATACAGAGTATGTATGCCCTCAATCTTGAAAACAAATTTCTCAAATGTTACATACGCATTATATTTTCTTCCTCTTAACAACAACTATATACATACAAACATGGGGAGCTATTGCTTACAACTCATACAAAAAGATACCTTAAAAGAACAGTTACAACTCAAGAAAAATCTGGGCGTACTGGTTTAATATAATCTATCCATTTATTCTAAACTAGAAAAAAACCTTCTATCTGAGTTCTTAATGAAAAAGATAGTTTTTCCATCACATATATAATGTGTATTGTATCAATCCACTCTTCAACTGTGGGTGTCTCTGGCTTTAGCCATTTTTTAGTAATTACTTTTTTACTAGCCGCCAGAAGAATTAACAACAGTTTCTTATCCTTATTGTTCCACCCATCTAAATTTATATTACCCAAATATAGAGATTCACAATTAAAAACAATCTCTACTTCAAAAACAGCTTCCAGATTCCTTTTAATCTCTTGCCAATATGGGGTTAATTTCTAAAACCCCCCAAAAATATGGTAGTGGTTAGCTTCCTTATCCCCACACAACTAGTACCCTTCCCTTGGTGTTTTTTCTGTGATGGTGTAATAAAGAACCTAATAACATGCTTCCAACAAAATTCTCTCCACATGGCTGAGCTTGTAGATTTCCATTGTGTTTTACAAATTTTCTCCCAATCCTCATCTGAGACATTAAAATTCCCTTCCATTTTCCATTTGTCTCTAACATAAAATGTGTTTTCGGGTACATTTTGGAGAAATCCATTATATAATTTTGAGATAATCTTATTACATGATTGAGCCTTACATACTGATAAGAACACTTTTATTATCCCTGTCTCGGTGAATTTCAATATTTCTGGTTTGATATTACATTCAATATAATGCCTAACTTGGAGATATCTATAGAAGTCACTTTGATTAAGCCCATATTTTCCCTTTAGCGATTCGAAGCTATGGATTTTGCCCTTGTTGAAAAATGTGTAATAATTTGAAATTCCTAGCTTAGTCCAAATTCGAAATCGATCATCTATTCTATTCGGGACAAAATCAGTATCAAAGGCACACCATCTTAATATTTTCGATGCATCTTCCAAACCACGAAAGTCCTTCTCGGCACCTTCGGGAACTCCGTATATTCTAACATTGCTCCGTATGGAACGACCCTCTATATCCACAAGTTTCTCTTCCATTTTGGTGTGTAACTTCAACAGGCCTGTGAGTACCTCTTCTGCTGTCAAGACTCGGCCCTCTACCTCCTCCAGTCTAG